AATATATGGTGTCGGTAATAAACAAAATCTGGGGCAGACAGGGATCACATGACTGAGGCCTCCATCATAATTATGGTGAGGGATGGTGACCATTACTGCCACTATCGCCCGGATCTGGACGGTACAGGCAAGATACCACTTAGATAAACCCACAACCTTCAAGATCGCCCGACACATAACTCTGGATCGATGTTTTGACCACCCGAAGGCTTCCTTATCCACTCCTATAGCCGACAGGGTGAAGACGGTGAGGGTATGGTGGGGTGTTGAGGGGGGAGGGTAGAGGGAGATAAGAGATGGGTGTTGGGGGTGAGGAAGTGGGGTGATGGGGGGGGGGTTGAATGTCACTGTATCTCCTTGGGATATTGTCGGCCATCTTGAGTAGGGTCCGTCATGCCAGCACTAACCTACCTTAAGCCCGAGGCTCTAAATGGGTTTGTTGTGTGGAAGAGGCAAGTACCAACCACCGATCCTGTGCGTGCTTGTCTCTGACTCGCGGTCTACCAGGGGGATCCAGCTCCTCCGGGAATCTTTTTCGATATTGTAACGTTTTAATGAACTCTGGTCAAAGGGGTGGAGCCCTTTCTTGCCCACACGATCCACAAATGAAACCACAGCGTCCACAATCGTCGACAAACCCTCTTATTCCTACGTTGTTGACATCCGCCAAGTCCATCTCCCAATGGTGTCGGTAGATGGAAGTGTCACTGTGCGCGCTGAGTGGCTCTGGTAAACACGGGTTATGGTTATGCCTGGTGAGTGGCCCGCGCCGTCATTTGCCGAGCCGGGCGCCGACAGGACACACGAGAAGGCGCCGCGACACCTCGGAGAAGTACCTGAAAACTTCCCACCTGATTTCCAACATTTTAAGGATCACCCGGACATCTTTAACGAATATGTGTGATATATTTCTAAAAGTATATATAGGAAGAAAGTTTAATAGAAAAATATATTGAGTTTAAATGGGATTGATAAGATATTATAAGGGACTATTTTCCGGAGCGGTCCTACTGGTGGCGGTGGGAGGTGTCGGCGCGGGTGTAGGCAGGGGCCGCGTCATAAGCCCCGCCCATATGGTCTTCACGCTGTCCGCCCCGCTCGGCTACTCTGCACTTCCACCCCTATTTTGTCCAGATTTTTTTACCTCTCATTTAGACAGGACTTCTCACACAAGTAGAAGGGAATTTTAAGGTTCGGTTTTTATTGATTTGAAAGAATATGGAAGTAGTTGAAAGGATTGATGGACCTAATAGGGGGTAGAGTAGATTTCTAGTACATGCTGATAACCACGCAGAGACCCGGCCCTCGCTCGCACCATGAGGCGGGACTTCTGACGCCCGCGGATTAATTCACTTCACTGCCTCGAAATCTTCGTCGTTCTGTGTCATTCAGCACTTCCAAAACCACAGTTCCTCAGTGTCATCATACCAACTAACTTATATGGCACTGCCAGATCTAGGGAAGTGAAGTTTCTCCCATGTCGATACCGAGGAACAGCAACCGGTGGATTTTTTGCGGTCATGTGCGTGTGAAGTTGATCACAATCGGCAAGCCCGAAGGTGTGACGTGGGACGCGGATGCCCCGCCTCCCGAGCTCTGTGATTGGCTGAGCGGGTGTTGACGGACCAATCAGTATTGTTGGCGGGTGTCGACCGCTGGTGTGGCGGTCATGACTTGGTGGTCGCCAGTGTAGGTGCGAACGCGCGATAGGAAGGCTGAGGGCCTGTACGTTCCAAGTGTCAGACACCACGCCTCTGCCTCCTACACCTCCTGCCAACCTATTCACCCGTCTAGGTTTACAATAATATACCCTGGCCCTTAAGTGCAATCTGGAGGTTGTGAGGAGGTTTTGTATAGTGACGCGCAAGGAAAAATAAAAGCACTGGTGATATTTTCGTAAATCGTGGAAAGAATTATTGTTTATTATCGTGAATTTTGTTGGTGGCCGAGGAGTACTGTGGTGGTGGACGGATGTGTTGGTGGAGTGTGGGTGTGCGTGATGCAGGGGCGGTGATGGTGTAGTGTGTGATTGAGGCCCCCCAAGCACCTGCCTCATGCGCTTCGACATCTTGCAGGAGCTCGGCCACCTTGTCAACTCCCCGCTCAACGACCTCCCTCCTCTCACCCCTCTGGACGTGAGCAGCAGCATGGCATACCACCCGTTCCTCCTCCAAAGACCCACAGATTTCAGCGTCAACTCCCTCCTTACGCAGTCGCCGTCGTACCTACCGACGCTGGGGCTGCCGGCGGCGGCTGTGGCGGCAGCGGCAGCGGGCTCACCCAACCCCTACAGCCTGCTGCCCAAATTCCCGGGGCACCTGGGTCACCCCTTCACCGCGGCCGAGGAAGTCATCTCCCAGTCTCACTTGCGGCCGCTCCGCTCTCTCCTCCCTGAGGAGGACGGCGTGGTGGACGACCCTAAAGTCACACTCGAGTGTAAGGATCTGTGGGAGAAGTTTCACAAGCTGGGTACCGAGATGGTCATCACTAAGTCCGGCAGGTAAGACCCGCAGGCACCTGACAGTGAGTGCCACCAACACCACCAGGTAGGCCTCCCCTGCCTCACTTCTTACCCACGTCTAGAAATAGTCAACACTTTTTATAAAGTCTTCTGAAAGTGTTGTACGTACAATAGGTTTATTATATCATTGGGAACAAATATTCTTTCTAAATAATAACTGTCGAGTGGAAGATATTGTGGCTTCATATATTATCGAGTATAAATTTTTCTGTTTTATCAACAGTTATCTGTAAACAATATTATGCAAAACAAACAGTGGCTTGCACACACCTCTAGTTTTAATGCATAGGTGAATCGTTAAGGGCAAGAGGCTGAGATAAGCCTAAGGAGATTCGCCGGTGGTCACACACCTCATTAAAAGAAACATTTTCTAAGTGTGAAACAGATTCTATCTTAACGCAGCATCCTTAAACTAAATTGTTTTTGTGGTCCGACGATCACCAAATTTGTAAGCTCTCTTTTGAGGCTCAGCATCACCTCACTCACATAAGATGAATTTTTCAAACTTCTAATGAATACTATTAATATTGTCAAAAATAAATAAATAAAAGAAACTCAAGTTTACGAATTTTTCTTTTATAAAAGTTTAATATCAGGCCGTTGCTGATCTTGGTGTTAAAGTGACGATTCGTGCAGTTGATCCCAGCAACAGATACAAGATCTTTCATAATAATTTTGTGCGAAATGTTTTATGTTTTTGCATCTTGGCAACCAGTTTAACCTAAACGAAGAGACATGCTTATATATATATATATATATATATATATATATATATATATATATATATATATATATATATATATATATATATATATATATATATATATATATATCTGTATATGTGTGTCTAAATCTAGATGTGTAATTGGATTTAAAGCGAATCGTACCTATCCCAACCATACAAGACTGTCCAACGTTGTTTGCTAAATATCGGCTGCAACAACGTTTACACTACAATTAAGTAGTTAGAGGGCAGTTTGGGCAGGCGAGGAGATTGGCAGTTTGTTAGCGGACTGGTCCGGTCCATGTTTATTTATAAGAGTGCGTATCACTCAGCACTCCGTCGCGCACCAGCATGTGACGCACCCAGTGTGGAACTGGATTGTCCGTATTATAGGGAAAAATTGCACTATCATTCCACACTAGCCTCTAGCTGGTTTAACACGACAAAATTTTAGGTTGCAGGGTTAGCCTGAGGGAAGGTGCAGGAGAGGGAGGGAGATCGAGCATCTAATATTGCATACTGGGCCGTGCAGCAGCGGGAGGGTGGCGGGGTGCACCACCACACATGGTTACCACGCTGCCCACCACCTTTGCAATGCTATGGATTTTACTCCTCTAGGACCAGGAAGAGCTCTGGGCCAGGACGCATCTCACCTTACGCACAAGGAACTTAGATGTCACTACGTCGCATGTTTGGTTGGTGACAGTGACCTTTCCAGTGTGCTACGAAATAAATGTTAAGGATGTAGGTGTGCGGTAACGCTGGGCCTTGACTAGAGCAGCTGTGTGAGGGTAGACAAGCGGGGTACCAACACCCGTCTGGGGGAACTACCCTCATCTACTTCCATCTAGTCCGTCACTCCTCAACCCACATACATACACTGACATTTTTTCGTCCACTGGAAATTGCCGCGTGGAAGAACCCATATGCGGATACGTGTTAACTAGTGAACGAGGTGGTTGCAGTAACGAGGGCGGCGGTGGCGGGGCAGCGGCGGCCCACAACCACAGTGAGTCCGCCAGCGTACCGGTAGCTAAGTGGGTATTTTATTTGGTTTTTATGTATACACGAACATCCACTGCGGTTTCGTTTTCGTCGGGTATGTGTGTGTGCTTATAGAGACGAGGAAAGAGGCACCCAACATTATGTATACATGACTGGTATTTATTCATAAAATTTATCTACTGATTGCGTGTACACGTGTGCATTTACGTGTGCATAGTTTGGATGGAACTGCCATGTTTCATCGCTGGGATGGTCCTGAGTGGCTGGGAGCGGTCGCTGGAAAACTACCGCTTATGGCATGATTTTGCTTCTGATATCGGCGCCTTGTTCCATCAGACGGCCTCTAGCATCGACAGTTTATAAGAAGTCCGCGATTACCATCACTGTGCGGCCAGTACCTGCAGCTTGCCTCCCTTCTGCAACATCATCATCCACACATGGGACTCAATAAATCAAACAGGGACCTGATAAAGTAGTTTTTTATTGTGGGTGTTGGGGTCATGTTCACATTTCGCTTAAAGAGCGTAACTTCAAAGATAAAATTAGGCGGAATAATTATGTGTATGGTTGTAGCTTTCAGGTATATCTTGTTATTTTTTATTTGGTATAGATATCCCAGGGAGTACCGGGTATAGTAAAGAAGCTTAGGCCTATATTGATGGAGATAGTGGAACAGGATGGCCGCGGCAGGCAGGAGGCGCCGGTAACCTCCGCTGAAAAAAAATAACGAATGACACCTTGTGACGCCTCTATACTTCACCCAGTGTAGGGGAGCTCCTTGCCTTGTGTTATAGGTGGCTATAGGCTCCTTAGACCAGTCAGTATATCCAACTACTCTGAATGCGGGAAATTGCTATACATTCCCGTCCGCGCCTCCCTCATATAGTGGAGATGTCTTACAGTTCTATCTACCCATCCATTACTCAGTCTCGTGTAAAAGAGATAGTAATACAATTTCTATCGCACTGTAATATGGGAGGGATGTTACTACCATTCCTCCCGCTTTTACTCTTCACATGCGACTAATCTAAGTAAAGGTCCTGCTATAATCGTCAGTGTTTTGTGGTAAAGTAATATAGATAAACCGTCCCTGCGTAATGTTGAAACGAGGTTCTAGTTTTCCTTGTATCTTGATAAAATAATATATTACCACACTGTTCCTCCGTCGGGTACAAATCTCATCTGGACCATTCCGTTCATCCCTCCCAAATATTGAAGGGAGATTCCACCACTACGTCTGCCCATTATCTGCAGAGGCCACCTTGCCATTCCATCAGGCCGTTATGTGGAGAAGAGATACCCTTCCCTTCCATCCGTTACGTGGGAGGAAAACGTAACCGCCCGCTGTATGGAATGGAGGTGCCATGGTTGTCTCCCACCGCCAGACACTAAAGTTGTAGTACTGTACAGTACTAGTATGACAAGTTATGGTTGTTAACATGTTTCAGGCATATTTTGTCCCGATATATATATATCATAGAAAAAAATGTTTTATTTCCCAATATGATAACTTATATTTTTGAGTGGACTTTTGTTTATGTATAAAATTTGTAATGCATACTTAAACATTCTTTACATTCTTTTGAATCGATGCTATATACACTCGTGTGTATATATATATATATATATATATATATATATATATATATATATATATATATATATATATATATATATATATATATATATATATATATATATATATATATATATATATACTGTAGAGGATCCTTTCCACTGACGGTAATTTGACCTTCGGAAGGTCAGAGGGACAGCTCTCGCGCTCAAATATCTGGTAGATCGGTGGAGCTCCGGGGCTCACAAACAAGATAAACGTCCAATTTCAGGTGTCAAATATACAAGATGAGCGACGGACTCCGGCGTTCATACACTCAAACGTAGGGCTCCGTCGCTCACAAACTCAAAATAAGCGTTGACTTGAGGGCTCACAAGCAGAGGATGAACGTCGGCAGGTTAGGTTAGTTAGGTAGGTGGTGGACCGGCGCTGTCAAGCACAGGAAGAACTCAATTTCAACAACTACGTTGACATTGCCTCAGAGTTCAACTGTTGATTTCATTACCGGGACTTGGGACCCAGAACGCCCACAGCCGTAATTATGCCTTTATAATCCTCATGCAGTCATAATTTAGTCGTAAATGTGTCTTAACTCATGTACGTATTTTTACTGAACATATCACTGTATTGCTCGGTTTTTATTTCTTTTGTTTTTTCGTCGTATTTTATTTTTCGATTCGTTTGAAAGTTTTAGTCATTTTTCTTTTGCTTTTTAAAATAATTTCGTATATATAACATTTTTCTTCGTAATTCACTTATTTAAATATTTTTCCGTAGTTTTAATTAATGAACTTTAAATTGTTGTCCGTATCGTTTTAAAGATTTTGTTTAAATTATGTATATGGCTATAGTCGTATTTTTCTGCAGTTTTCGAATTACTGTAATGAATTATCTTTTTTGTTCATATTTTAAACAGCTTATCATCTCGTGAGCTAATTACCATTGTTTTATTGAAATACAAATCTTATATTTTAAGTTTTTGCGTTATAGTTTTACAATTTTAAAGTAAAAATTTAAAATACAACTCTTTTTAATGTACAATATTTTTTTTCCAATACTATTATTTATTAAATTTTACGAAGTTTCATTCATTACCATCCTTTTGTTTTTCTAATTTTATTCGTGATATTTAAAAATATATCTCAGTTTTTCGTTTGAGTTTAATTATAATCATACGGTGTTTTAAATTATCTCTATTAGTACTTTATTTTTTTCCGAAGATAGTTTTATTGATGTTTATATATGTTTGGTCTGTATATTTTTTATTTATATTTTCAAAGTGATACAAAGTCTCCGCTTAATGTTATTTACCCCGATGTGTTATTTTTATTTCAGTTTTGCTGATTTTTTTTTTCATTTTTAGAATTGTTCTTAATTGCTTGTTTATTTTTTTTAATATAGTAATTTATAAATTTAGGTCCAAATGTTTTCCTTTTATGTTGCTTTTTTTCTCGGTAATTTTCACTGGAATCTCTGTACAGTATAAACATTGAAATGTATATTGTATTTTTCAGTGTTGTATTCCGTACCAGTAGTTTATATAGTGTTTATTATTTACGTGCCTGGCGCCATTAGTATTTCACAGTTAGCCTAAATAATACAAGTTACTTTTTATTAATGAAGAAAGATATTTCGTTCAGATGTATTTAGTATAGTGTGTTTATTATTAGTATC